GAACCATGCTCCATCTTAAAGGTGGCAGAAGTTATTCATTCTACGTAGCAGGAGCACCTACTCTGTGCAAGGCACTTGACATTAGGTGCTGCAGGAACTACCAAGGTGAAGCAGACAGTCCCTGCCCTTGAGGAGCTTACAATCTAATAATGAACACTATGTACATATATACACTGCAGAGAAGCAGCCAGGGTTTCTGGATGCAGGGTATTCCAAGCAAAAGGTATTCTTATTCTTAAAGTTTTATTTAAATGCCAAAAGTCTAAAACACACCACCCAACCAGATGGTAAGAATTAAGGAAACTATCTTTCTAGAACTTTAAGATTTCAGACGCCTGTTCTTTTCATAAAAAAAAAAAAATCCTATGTAAACATACATATAATTCAAAGCTGAGCACAAAGATTAGCACAGGCATCGGGTAAACATAAAATATATATCACTATACACAACACACTAATTTTTCTATACAGTCTTATTTCTGTATAAACAGGTTTGATATTCATGTTCCTTTCCAGAAAGTACAAATCTGAGTCAGAATCTTGAAAAAGACATAATAATCCATTTTCGCTTTTAATTTTGCATTAGTACCAAAACACCCTGCACCCCAGCAGTCTGGTCGCCAAATGTAAAAGGGATGAAGTATGAAGTGCCTCGAAGCCGTCACTACCTCTTCTGCGATCCAATCTGACCACCTCACGGGATCTTTCTAAGAGGGTAACGGGATTTCATGATGGTGAGGTAAGCACATTTTTACTACAGAAACCAACGAGATTTAGAGTTCTCAACTTTAAGTAAATCTCCGCAGTCCACGTACAGCATCTCATCTACACAGGCTTTGCCTTTACCTTCTTGGCAGGAGACCATCTTGCCTTCTTGCCCGCTCCTGCCCAGACTGGAATGAATGGTGCCGCCATGTTGGTAATCCATACAATACTGCTCTGAATAAGCTCATGCACCCACTGAGACCTCAGACTGTATATTAAGACTGCCTCTCACCCCCAGAGTATAATTATAACTCAAAAAAAAAAAAAAAAAAAAAAGCAAGATTAGAAAAGCTGAATTACCTAATCAGATAAAGACATTGGGGGAGAAACAGTCCTATTCCAAAAGGACTAACTTCATTATTGAATTTTTTTTTAATAATCCTTCCTCCCCTTAAACTGATTAGTTTCCACAGCCAGTTTTCAGAAGCAGCCCAGCTCTAAAACAGAGTACGTATGCAGACGGAGGCTGCATCCTATGTACCAGACTCAGCCTGGCTAGAAGTCTTGACACTGATTTGTAGCAGCACCTTGGAAATGAGTGCCCAATCTTCTGAAAAAACCCCGCTATTTCATCAGGACAGTGATGCTGTCTAGTATTTCAGATCATTAGAAGCAACTCTATATTCTGCAAGTCTGACTTAATTCCACTTAAGGACAGTCAGATTTCACATGCTCTGTAACCATTAAAAAAGTTTTTAAATGTTTGTTTATTTTGAGAGAGAAAGAGAGAAAGAGAGCGGGGAAGGGAAAGAGAGGGAGACAGAATCCTAAGCAGGCTGTGTCGTCAGCATAGAACCCAACGTGGGGCTCAAGCCTATGAACTGTGAGATGATGACCTAGGCTGAAATCAAAGAGTCAAGACACAAAAGAGACTGAGTCACCCAAGAGCCCCTGTGATCATTTCAAATAGCAGGTATCACCTCAGCAAATGTGAAGATCTTAACTCCAAAAACCTTTCTTAGCCTCAAGAAAGAGTAACTCAAAAGTTTAATAACTATCAGACCTGAGACACAGACCTACTCTGCTTGAAGCTGTGGATACGTCCACTAATAACTAAAATGAAAACAATTCACTACAGTTTTAGAGATCTCTGTAAAACTGACAACCTTGAGGGACAACGTTAGATTCTGGAGACCTCTCTGTAGCCTCATTGAACTGTGCATCCCACTGACACAGAAACAGGGAGCCTACAAGCATAAAGAGGTATTCGTGATCGATCACAGGAGCCACACGGAGGCCCACAACAGTCCACAGTGGGCTAACTGTAAAGACATTCACTCATTTCTCTGCCTATTTGGCTGTTTTTGCTGCCCGATCTCTAAAAAGAAAAAAGGGCAAAATATACCTTTCCCTTAAAAAAAAACTTAGGCCGGCTGACTTTTAATACAACCCATTCTGCTTGGCTTCACCAGAATTTTTGCTGGTCAGGAACAATGCTGGTTTGTGGAGGGGGGTGGGTAGTGGTAAGGAGCTAAAATTTAGCAGACTCTACCCCAAAGTCCAGCCAGGAATTGCGGAGCACCCTGCCCAGGGAAATAACCAAGAGTTTTGAAGAAAACCAGATATAGTTTACCAAGCTAACAACGAACACTGTTACCGTTAGAAAGAAGTCACTGTGTGATACCATCTCGTCTAGGAAGGAAGACCTACTGTGTGACTTAATTTTGACAGATTGTATCACTGATCTATCCTTCTTTGAAGCATGAAATCCGCTAGCTCTGGACGTGTCCTAAAGCTGAGAAAACCAGAGGAAGGGGAATCAAGAGGACCTCACCAGGAAGGACAAGCGAGAGAGAGGGATCAGGAGCAAGAATACTCTGGAAGTGGACTGGTGGCATTAATTCCTATAGTAAGCCGGTCTGTTGAAAGGGGACCAGGTGTTCCGCAGGACTGGCACTGTACTCCTCTTAACAAGCACCGATAACCACCACCTTCTGCTTCTTAGCTGATAGTGTCGTAATTACAACAGAATATATTTAAATATTCAATTATTACCCTTGAACATTCCATTCACCTGATTAACCCGCGACACTTGTAATGGGTCCAACCAGGTGTTTCAACGTGAACATGCCCCAAACCTTCTTAGCGAGCAGCAGAAAACTGTCACGCTCAACCCGAGGCTCCGCCACTGGTTCTAACAACTCCTGACACTGAGAAATAATTGGTAGTTCTGGCAGATGTGATAGTAGGCCGAGGCCGCTTGAAGTCTGGGCGGTGGACACATGAGGATTTCAGAATGAATATCGAGCGTAACAAGCTATCAATTTCTTATCTAGAGTAATGGGGACAAATTAACCCCGGGCAGAGAGCGCGCACTCCCGGTGTGGATATCAGACTCCCTGCATGCAGTGCGCTGTAGCTGAAAAGGCCTAATTGCACAGTCTTTGCGCCCGTGCTCCCACGCGGCTTCTGCTTCTGCCACTTCTGAGTCGGTTATTAGTGACAGCCGAGAGAAACTTGAACTCCACTAAGCAGATCAGAGGACGCGCGGAGGGCATGACAAGTTCAAGCCAGGAGAGACCATGAGCCGGAAGACCCCGGGGGTCACCCCTGCGTTCCCAAGGCCCCCGGACTGGCACTCGGTCACCAGGGGCTCTGACCTGTGAAGTCGAAGTGGACTGTTTGCAAGGCTGCCGTTAGCTCACATTGGCCTCCCTGGCTGAGGGGGTGGGGCTGACAGAAGGGGAGCCCCCCCCACCCCCCAGCTCCCCATGCAGAAACTGGGGCAGAGCAGGCACCAGGTGGGTGAAGAACACGCCACCGGGCTCAGTCCCGCGCAGAGACCAGCCACGTCCTGGCCAAAGAGTTGCCATGTTTATTCCTATACAGACAAAATAATTTAGGAGACCCTTCTAGTTAACTCCCAAGGGTTAAATTCCCCCCAAATGTACAACTGTTTTAAATAAAAACTTAATGCAAGTTTTAAATGGCAGCAGCACAGAATTTCCCAATCGGAACAAATCAAACGCTGACCCTGATTAGGAACAAAAAGTATGGAAACTAAGCATCCCAGGATTATGAAAACTACAGTAATTCTTTGACGTGACCTCAATCCTCACAGTCCTATTTAATGTAACGTCAAACAGCTCCAGGCACAAATGACCGCGGCTTTACCGCCTTCCGAGCTGTGCCACCCGTGACCTTAATGCCACCTTGTTCTGTCTTGAAAATCAACATAATGTGCTGGACCCTGGCATCTGGATTGACACTATTCTTGAACTCACCAGGATGAAAAAGATAAGCAGAAGATTCCAGCAAACACAGATTTAAACACAGGAGACAAAACAAAATTTGAACAGGAAACAAAAGACGTTTCAAAGCAGACTGGAAGCACCTCTGAAGGGCTCTGGGCTCTCGACACGCGAGCGGAGGGGTGAGAATGCGGTAGGGGAGGTGGTGTGTGGGCATCTTGTCCAAACAGCAAGTGCTTCTGAAGCAAGGACAAGATGTTGTTCTCTGAGAAATCACAAGAAAGGCAGGAATAAATGTCAGAATAAAGGCCCGACGGCAGGTAACAGGGGTGGCGATTTCGCATTTTCTTTCCCATCCAGCCTCCCATTTCAAGACGTGGGCACCAAGAGTGCTGCTGCTCAGCACCAGCCCCTGGGACACTCGCGCTGTAATTCCTGAATGTGCACCGTTAGTTTTAGATCTTAAGACCAATTAATATCAAACATCTCTTCTTAATGGCCAGAGGGAAATACCAGTATTACAAATACCAAGGACCTTTCCTGACAAGAAATTCCCAGGCTCTTGTCAACTGATCAAGTCTGGGCCACCCACCACTTTCTGGAAGTTTCCTGGAAGTCTCTAGATGGGACTGCACATTCTCATACCGGATATAAATGAAATGTCTGGACATGTCAACATTAAAAACACTAGAAGTTTTAAGGAGAAAATATTCTTTTTCTTCTATGTACAAATATCTCACGTAGGCTGTGACCGTCAGTCTGACGCAAGGAAGGTCACGGATCAACGGGAACACCAGGTGCCCTTTACACACCCAGGGGAAAGGACAGGAAATCTGGTAACGTGGGAGCTCACTAAAAATAAGACAATTATTAACCTATGAGAATCACCTGATCTTTTGACACATTAAAGCCAACTTTAGTCTTGGCTTCAACCTCTTAAAAATACAGTTTTATGAAAATGGTTTCGGTGTGCATGAGAAACAAGAATCCTCAGGATACAGACATGTGGCTATGTGTTCAAAAGAGAGCATCAGGACCCTGTGCTGTTTTAGACACTTTTAATGTCTTCTGGAACACCGCACACCATGCACATCACGGAAGCCCTCTGGAGCCAAAGGCAGCTCCACACCGAGGGAGGCGTTAAGCCTAACTGGGTCCAGCGAGCCCCTACCCCCAGCTCTCTAGAAGGATCACCCTGTTCCCAGTGATGACAGGCCCTGCTTGCTGTTCAAACTGCTTCAGTCAAAACACTTGAAAAATAAGTGTCCTGACTGGGTAAGGAGGGGGAGGCTAATGTTCATCTCAGAGTGACTTAAAATCTCTGCATTCAGTTGTTTTAGAGAAATCCTTTAGTCCCCGGAGATGGGGACCGTACTTCAGAAATGAGTTCCCGGGGCCTGATCTACACTCATGGAGAGAGCCTCGCCACTTGAAGGCCAGGATTAGCCAGCGCGTCCTACATCTTCAGGCCAGAAGGTATTTTCTGTAACAGAGCATGTGTCGTTCCCATCTTCCCACCGCTGACATTCAGAAGACAGGAGAGTCACAGAAAGGGCAAGGGCTTTGCAGTAACCTCTTAATCCAGTCAGGATCTGCAAAGGAAGACAAGTGGCACTGAGTGTCAGCTTCGGAGCAGGTGGGCCGAGCCCTGGCCGGCTGCAGAGGGAAGCACAAGAGGCATGGTCCCGGCTCTGCGTCCTCAGAGCACCCCCACCAACCTCCTGGACCAGGCCGGACTAGACCTGTGCTTCCCAGAGCTAAGTGCGCGATGAAATTTTCAGCCCTTTATGATGGAACAGGAAAATAAGGATAATGAATGAATGATTCACACAGCTAAACTTATTCATTTCAAGGAAAGGACTAGATTGTTCTGAGAACATACCCTTAGTACACTGTTAACCTTAAAATATTTTTTTAATGTTCATTTCTTTCTGTGAGAGAGAGAGAGAGAAAGAGCGCGCACACACAAGTGAGGGAGGGGCAGAGAGAGAGGGAGACACAGAATCTGAAGCAGCCTCCAGGATCTGAGCTGTCAGCACAGAGCCCGATGTGGGGCTTCAACTCATGAACCTCAAGATCATGACCTGAAGTCAGACACTTAAAGGACTGAGCCACCCAGGATCCCATAAAATATTCTCTTATGAAATTACAGTAATGGTAATTTTTAAAAATGCATTCCTTGGAAAAAAGCATGACCACACTGGCTCAACACCTTCTCCCCCTTTAAAAACGCCCCTAGTCTGCAAGTGCCCTACTGTGTGACGGCGCTCCAGACCCAGAGATTCTCATTCTTCCTAAAGCTGTGTGTAGCTCAACTCAAAGTCAGTTGGCAGGTGTGTGTGTTTCTTTGATTTGTTTCAATTTTTTCCTGATTTCCTGTCTAAATAGTATACCAATTCTCAATTGCAGTGAGTTTCCCCAAATTTGTTTCAAAACTGGCTCAAGTCATGATCTCATGGTCTGTGAGATCGAGCCCTGCATCGGGCTCTGTGCTGACAGCATGGAGCCTGCTTGGGATCCTCTCTCTCACTCTTGGGATCTTGGGATCCTCTCCACCTCCCTCACTCTTTCTCAGTCTTAAAATAAATAAACCTCAAAAAAAAAAAAAAAAAAAAAAGGACTTAGTTTTATGGAGAATGTTTTGTTTTAGTTAATCGAGACCACAAATTTCCCCCAAACGTGTGTATAACTGAACATGCTCACGTCTAGGTAGCTTATCTGGTTAGGGTGCGACGTGACGTGAATAAGCTTTGGGTCATGAATCTGGCATTCAGGTGACTATTTAAGTTGCTAATTCCTTGTCCGTGTCTAGATCTTACTTCCAACTCATCATCTCAGAAATGTGGGCTTTGTCAGCGGGGCTATCAGGAGATAGAATACAGACGAACCAAGAAAACCCCATCACGGCTACCAGAAGGAGTCGTCCAAGCGCACACGGAATGTTCTGGCTTGGCAATACGGTCTTTGTACACCTTACCATTGGCACAATTTCCCTCCAAATATAATGTACACGTGCCATCTAACACAAGCTGTGGCACTTTTTTGAATGAATAATTTGCGGTAACGGAACAGCAAACTGCACCCCTGCTCACACGCCAACATGCAGTCTGTCCTTCCACACGATATATTCCGTTGATCATTTTTTCATTAGTTGTGGCTTCACGATAATAGTGCCAGGACTGCCAGGAGGAGAATGAGCCTGCCGTCAGTCCTGCTGGCCTAGGGCCCTGCGGGGTGGGGCCTGACCCGAGCAGATTCAGAGCAGCCCCCCCTAGCCGGGCCAGCACTCACCTTCCGGGGCCGGATGGCGGGCTATGCTGTCGTGGAGCAAACACCTTCTGTAGATCAGACTCTGGCAGGACTGGTAGGTTAAAAAGCACCTGAGAGAAGACACACTGGATTGTCAGGAGAAACTGGTCACAGACAGTTCCTGAAAACCACCCACTGACCGCGTAAAGCATGTAAACCGCACTCAAGTGCGTGGCAACAGCGTAGCCCTCTGCGCCCCAGAGCTGCCCAGACCTGTGCTGCCCCAGCTCAGTAAGGGCCACTGCTGGGGGCGGGTTGCTGAGCCACAAGATACAAAGCTTCCGGTCCAGTCGCTGCCACTTCTCGTTGGCCATGTGTGGCACTGGGAAAGAGTTTATTGTCTGTACCTGTCCATGCTTTGAATTTTTGATATGTTAAAAAAGAATCAGATACTATATAGAAAACTATTCACGTAAGTGATTTTGCAGAGGAGATCTGTGCACTATGTTTAAGAATGTGACGGTACAGCGGGGAAAGCCTGAAAGGGACAGAAGACAAAATTCATGGTGCAAAGAGAGAGATGGGAGGGGAGAAAAGCCCCAGGTTCAGCCCCGTCCTGTGACTACTCACCCAACACCCACCAGGACCAGGCTACAAAGGGCAGGTGGACTGGGTGCCCACCAGGGACCAGCCATTGTTCTAGTGAGTAGCTGTGAACACAAAATTCCCTGTCCTCACGGAGCTTTCTATTCCAGAGGAGACAGAGAAACAAAGTAAAAATCTATGAAGAGGCGGGGACTGCCAGGGAGTACAAGAAGACGATGAAGAGCGATGGGAGAACCAGGAGGCAGGGGACGCCAGCAGGGGCCACGGTACAAGGCAGCATGGCCAGGAAGGCCTAACCCATTAAGGGACACTTAAGGAAGCCACGCGGACACCAGCCGGAGGAGCACTCCAGGCAGCGAGCACGGCAGTGCGGACATCCTGAAGAAGGAGGGGGGCCTTGTGTACCTGAAAGCAAGGCGGAGAAACACGGGAGAGGAGGTCAGAGAGGGGATGGGGGCCAGGCTGTGTAGTCGTGGTCACTGAAGGGATTCTAGTGTTTACTCATCACAAACGGGCAGCCTCCGGAGAGTTCTGAGCAGAAAGAGGGGTGCATGAGTGGATGAAATCTTAGCAGGATCACAACCATGGCCACACTGAATACAGATGGGAGGGCACAGAGCGAGCAGGGACACCTGCTGGGAGAAAACTACGCCATCCAGGCAAGGGGGTTTGGGGTCTTCGCCAGGACTGGGGAGGTGGAGGCAGTGAGAACAGGCTGGATGCAAATCTGAAACGCCTATTAAATTTCCAAATACAGACCGTGAACAGGTGGTTAGAAGCAGAAGTCTGGATTTGGGGGAGAGAGTCAGGCTAAAGCTCTCCGTTTAAGTCACCAGCATACAGGTGGTGTGGCCTGCCAAGGAAGCACGGACTGAAGAAAAACAGGTCCAACAAGGACATCAGGGGCATGAAGCAGAATCAGCAGACAACTAAGAACGAAGAGTCAGAGGTGGGAAGAAAACCAGGGAGGACGCCGTCCGGGGAGCCAGGGGATGCAGGCGCTTCAGGGAGCAAGAAGGGGCGTGCTGGCCGGTGTCAAACACGGCTCCCAGCTCTGTAAAATCTAAGCTCGCCAAGACGCCCTCTGACAGCGAGAGAAGGAAGACTCCCAGCTTTTAGTATAAAGTCAGAGCCCAAAAAGTGCACAAGCTCTTTTATACTCCACTACCTTAACAGATACTACTTGTATAATACTTTAAAAGGTTAATGCTATTTCAAAGGAAGACAGTATCACCAAAATAAAGAAATCCCTCTGTGCGTCGGGTGGTAAAAACACAGTCTTTAAAGAGGGTCTTGCCTTAGTCAGACTGATGAAGAGAGTCTATGCCTGTGCCTCAGTCGTGGCTTCTCTCCACCCCAGTGGCACAGGGCAGCATGCTGTGGTCACACGTTTTACACACTTTACGGTGCTCGGTGTGTACAAAACCGGAAAAGGGGCAAAAGCAGGGGCTGGCTTGAAATGGCTTACCGGAGCCAAATGTGGCCGTTGGAGCAGACTGCCTGCTTGCGATCCGTGAACGGCAAGACCTCCTTGCACAGACTACAGTGCTCAGGGAAGGTCTGTTTGTTCATCTTCTTCGAGATGTGTCCAATCAGCACCTAGGAAGACAGAGCAGTCGGCGCTGTTGAGTGGTGTGAGTGCAAGGCTTCTCAAAGAAAACGTCTCTGGACACAGTGGAGGAACGAAAACACGCCTTGTCCTATCCGTATCCACACGCGATGGGAGGTGAGCATTTGCACACACGCTGCTCAGTGTCTGAACGTGACAAAGCCACACCTCCTTGTGTAGACTGGCTGTGAAAATACATTTGTTCAGGGAGCCTGTGACAACAGGGCGAACGGTCACCACTAAAGAAAAAACCGTTCTGAAAACCAAAATCTTACCACTTGCCTTGTTTTTGCAGCTTCTGAAAGCAGGAATGAGAATTCTGTTAGGAGACAAAGCACTTCGCTAGCCTTGGTAATGATTTAAGAAGGAAAAGCATGATCCCTATGGGCGAAGTATTACGTGAAACGCTAACTTTGTAGGACTGTACAAATGTCCATTCTTTAAAAGAGGCTTACAAAGCATAAAGGTAATCAGGAGTAAAAAAAAAAAAAAAGTAATAATTTCCCTTTCTGATAGCCCCAAGACCACGGCCAATCTGGTCTAGCAGCTTGCCCTCTGCGATCCTGAGCCCCACAGCAGAGGCGTGGTGGGCCCCGTGAGAAGGGTCCACAGGGCAGGGTCTAGGCCTGGTCTGTATTTCAGCTTTTCTTTGCTTCATTAGGATTATACCACTTTAAAAATGGAAGTCTAACAAAAGTTATCTACTTCACTCGTTTGCTGAAAACACCTTCACTGGCACATCTCTTGGAGGCACGGGATACAGCGAGCTTTCAGAACTATGGCGTCTTACTAGGAGATGATGTCCTTCAAGATTTGTAATCCATTTACACTTAAGCTCTGGTGGAAGAACTCTCTGGGTCAGCCGTTCACTGAAATCAGCTCACTGTTTTGAAGGGTATCTGAACAGCCCAGAGGGTGTCTGACCCACTCTTATGTAATTTACAAATTTAAAGCCCATTACCTTTTGGCTTTTTTGGGTTTTGTAGCCTTAAGAACTCTAATTTATGGTCCCTTACAACAGGGACAACCACCTCTCCCTCCTTTTCTAGTTGGGCCAAACATCCTGACAGCAGTAGGTGATTACCACCAACTTCCACCACATACTTCCTAAAATGTTCTGTTAATCTTCCACTGACTCTCGTAATATTCCTGCTAGGTCCTGTGAAAGAGTGATAACCAGAAAACTTCCGGGCAATTCAGAGCACAATGACATACTTTTTAGAGTGGACTTTCAAAGATGAAAAGTCAGTTGTGTGAACAGTACGTTGTAAGTACTCTTGAGATCACTGCGAATACCCCAGGAGTAATAACTGAGGGGTGGATATGCACACTTTCCTACAAGACAGGGCAACAAGGAATTTGTGTGTGGTTTAACATTACTACCTTCAATTTTATTTAAGTTTATTTATTTTGAGAGAAGCAGAGAGAGCACGCAAGGGGAGCAGAGGGAGAGAGAAGAGTCCAGGCAGGTGGGGCGCAAACTCACTAACTGTGAGATCATGACCTGAGCTGAAATCCAGAAGAGTCAGGCGCCTAACCGACTGAGCCACCCAGGCGCCCCTATTCCCTTCAATGTTAAGACCTTGGGCAGTGAGAAGTGTCAATCTTAAGAGTAAAAGGGAACACAGGCTTCTGTAGTTTTGAATATTTTAGTATAAAGTATGTTCCTTGAAACACAAATTCTTCAGGATTTTAGCAGCTGTTAGCTCAGACAAAGGTTCCCCAATGTCAGGATAACAATGAAGTACACAAAATTAGATGGCTTCTTTTCTGCAGGAATTCTCAGATTCCTCAAAAGGATACGGTGCACGGGGAGCCTCTAAGAGGAGGACAGAGGGGCGCCTGGGTGGCTTAGTCGGTTAAGCGATCGACTTTCGCTTAGGTCATGATCTCGCGGTTCGTGGGTTCGAGCCCCACGTCGGGCTCTGTATTGACTGCCAGCTCAGAGCCTGGAGCCTGTTTCAGAGTCTGCGTCTCCCTCTCTCTCTGACCCTCCCCTGCTCACGCTGTCTCTCTCTCTCTCCTAGAAATAAATAAAAATATTAAAAAAAAAAAATAAGAGGAGGACAGAATGTAACCCTATTGTTCTACCAGCAAACTTGAAATCTGTGGAATACATTTTGGATAAGGCTCTAAGATGCTTCTATATCAAAATAAAGATTCTGCCCAGTTTTGTAAAAATAAACATGAGTAATAATTTGATTACTTGACATGCCCTTCTTGACTGCGTCAAAAGGCTTCCTCAAGTCCTCCCAAATGTGAGCCATCCGTGAGCCCCTGCCACCCCGTCCCCCAACCCCAGAACCTTCTGCAAACAGGAAGAAAGCAGGGTGTCACACGTCCCCTGCTGTCACTGCCCAATCACATACTACTCGCTAAATGACGCCTCCTCCAGCTCATCCACAGCCAGCGGACCTGAGCCTGCAAACCTTGTTTTTCAATCAAGGCCGCGGTGGGGGGAAGAATCGAAACACTCTTGGTGTGATATGAAAATGTCCTCTGCATTAATCCACGTTTCCTATTTATTCTCCTGCATCTCATGCCACTCAACTACCTACAAAACATCAAAGCCAAAGTCGGGTTAGGAATTCCATTCAGACCGTTTCTGCCCCAGGCAGAAAGCAGACCTCTGACGGACTTGCTGCTTCTGTGAGAAACACCTACCCGAGCCGTGCGGTCGTCGTACTCTTCGTCTGACATCAGGAAGTTGCAGAGGCCCCTGGTGGGGATGCTTGTGTTCTCTGTGATCCAGGTGTGCAGGTACACTTCTCCCAAGACCCGCTTCATGTGCTCCCTGGTCAAGTGCATTTCTACGCCTTCGATCTTCCCCTGGATCTCCAGGAGCTTCTCCTCCATCGGCTCCCGGCCCCCCGCCTCTCCAGACGGGGCCAGCGAATCATCAATGGGGTCCTCCGGGTCGCCCTCTCTGCTCCGCTCCTGAAGGCCCTGCCGACCGGCCTGTCTGGAAGACGTGCCTTCCTCTTGTTCGTCCTCGGCATTGCCCATCCCAGGGGAGTCAACTAGCGAGATTTTGGAGTCCTCGTGGGAGGGTTTCCACAATGCTTCCGAAGGGGTTTTCTGCATCGACTGATACAAAATCCTCAGGAGGAACAGTTTGAAACGCCAAAAATAGGTGGCCCCACTGCTTTCGATCTTTTTTTCCAAAGCTTCCTGTAAAAACTGCGGGATGTGTTTATCTTTTAAAATCTTCCAGCGTACTAGATCTATTAAATCTACCTGCTTGAAGAGATTCTGCACGGAAGACTCCAGGAGCTGAGCAGCTGCCTCCTCAAATGTTTTGAGAGTAACAAACTGGACCTGGTAGTTTTTGTTAACGGGGTGGAGGCCGTTGACCATGCCCTCGGTCGTAATGACGGCCAGATACGCGCCGCAGGGGCTCACCGCTATCCCGTGCGTCCTCACCGAGCCAAACACATCTGACAGTTTGATTAACTGGTGTTCGAACTTTAACGCCACATCCGTGAAGATGGGAATCAGCTGCCTCACCTTGCCGTCGCTGGAACAAGTATACACTGTCCCGTTCTGCTTGTCCGCAGTCATGGAGACGATCGGCAGCGAGTGAAGGCCTGTGACATGGGAGTTGTGAACATTGAGGCCTGCTTTGGAGATCAGCAGAAGACACCAAAACACATAGGACCCTCTTGCAGCCACCACTAAGCTACAGCTGCACTTCTGGTAAGGGTGATAGAGAGGGACACACTTAATGCTGTGCACCGGCAACTGGTCCATTTCTTTCCACAAGACAACAGGCTGCCTTAGAGTGAAATAGCCTTTAACTGCTTTGAGATTAACGGGAAGAATTTTTACAGGTCCAAAAGCACTCCCCACAATAAGGCCGCTCATTTTCCGATTATTGTGCTCATATTCCCACCAAAACAGAACACTGGGAGAGTTGATTCCTGACTCGATCGTGTTGCACGAAGAGATGGATTCCTTCCCCACAAAGGGCAACTGAAACTGCCACACGGCAATGTCGCCGTTCTCAAAGAGGACCGCCAGGAGCACGCTGCCCACGTCCCGGCACTCGTTGTTATGCTTGACCTGCTGCGTGGTGCAGATGCCCGACCACTCCATGCGCACTGGAGTCTGCATGCTGTGTCTCCTCTGAAACTCAGCGAAGTCCCCAAGATTCCCTTCAGGAGCCTCGTTTTTAGAGAGCCTGTAACTGGTCTCGTAAAGGCGTTCTCCATAAATCTCTGTCAGATCAGCCAGCTGGACCCACTGGAGTCTGTTGAGGTTGGCCTGGATGGTCAGGCGATTGTCCATGGTCAGTGCCGCCAGGAGGCACCTGCCATTCGCATCACAACCCATGGGGGACCAGCTAGTATATTTGAATCCCCTCAACGGTGGCAGAGCCTTCCCCTCAGGGTTGAACACCCGGTCCAACATGAAAGTCTGACTGACTGTGGGGTCTTTCGAGGTGGCAAACTTCTCCTTACACTCAGCAACTTCTGCTTTGGAGCCAACCTGAAAATAAGAGACATAAAGACTCTCAGATAAATATGTCACTCTAAGAGGAATATACTGACATCACTTAGGGTACCGATTGATCAATCAGTGTTAACCAGGTCACGTTAACATACCTAGAATTTTGTAACAATTCTCTTAATTTTGAAAGACATGCATTTAAAAGATCAAGTGCATGTCTGAAAGTAGATGAGGACTTACTCAAGAAATAAAGATTTTTTTTTTTAAGAGTCAGAATAAATGTTGCCATGATTCAAAGCCTGCCTCCCATATTCTTCCTAGAACTGCCATAAATAGCGGCAGTAACAGTGACGTACTTGTCTTTAACGCATTTAGAGCACGCAGCTGAACTACTCACAAAACCATAAACATTACATATTCATGAAAACACACATCCATATACATCTTTGATACAGCTGGATATTTTGAGTTTTTACAATGTTTTGTGATACAAATGCCAGCTTTAGGTTTCTATCTAAAATTTCATTTAGAAATTGTGCTGAAAGCCAACTCCAAAGGCTACATCCACTGTTTCTATAGAATAACATCCACTCCGGTTAGACTAGTTGCCATTCCTTGAATATTCCCTCCTCTGCCTCCCTTGGCCCCCTTGTCTGGAATGCTCTGTTTTTCTATATAAATCCCATCCATCCCACCAGGTCCAATTCTCTCTCTGAGGCCTTCTGAGATCATTCTGGCTTTCACCCATCACTCCCTTCTCCAAGTCTGTGACATGTATCAGTGGTGGTGTTTATTTAGTGCCTAGCTGTTTGATGGCAAGCGCTTTAAAAAGATCTTAAAGGACGTTAAAGACAAAGGAGGAGATAGATGACCAAAAGAAAGTGGTTCAGAGCCAGGAAGGCTAAAAGACAACAAAGCAGGAGCCAAGGGAACTGTGCTTTCTGTTAGGTGTGAGGCAGGAAGAGAAAAGGACTTGACCCCACTGTCTTTAGGGAAACAGATCCAGAGAAAGAATGCAGAATCTTCCAGATTTAGTGACAATCTCCTTTCACACAGCCGCTGATCTTCCAACTGGAAAGGGTGGTTATTAGATGATTACAAAGGAATTCAAGCCTAAGACATATATGGATCTAATAAAAGTCACTTTAAATGAGTTTAAGTCCCCAAGCCCAGAGGAGTTACACTCCAGGACACAGGAAAAACTTGGAAGATGCTGAACTACAAACCACTAACTGGTCCTAGATAAAGCTTGAACTGGGAATAGGTCAGAAAACCAAAGTCCAATAGTTTTAAAGTATTCCCTAAATGGAAAATAGATAACAGACCATTAAGTCTGCTAGGGAACAAAATTCCTCAATTATTAACAAATAAAAGGTTTGTGTAGACAGAAGGAATCATTAGAAGTCAGCACAGGATAACCAGAAAAATCTAATCTGACTCTTTTCTGTTGAAACTGCTTAATGACATAATAAGCATAGAAAAGTAGGTATAAAGTCCACCAAATGAATTAGATAACTAGCTTTTCCTAAATTGTGTTACAAAGAATGTTACCCCCCCCCGCCCCCCCCCTCAAACGGTCCCTTGAAGAACTGCCATGTGGCCAAGTAGGTCTTGGAATGCTGTATGCGACCCACCACCTCGCTCTGAAAAGTCTCAGGAGCACACTAAATGCCTTGGCCAGGGAGTTACTGAGAGACTTACCTAGAGTTTGTCTTTTTTTCGAACAACAGAACTTTTTTCTGGGTGGCGCCATCATTTATTATCCTAAAGAGTACTCCGGAAATGGTGGCTTAGGCAGTCTATCTTGATTTAGAAACGCATTTAAGGTAGCCTCTTGGATACATTTATGAACATGCTGGAGAACTACAGACTGGAAATTCCAGTTAAACAGAAGTGTAGCTGCCTAGCCTGTTGATAAAATAATGCTAATCAAAGCCCAGAGCCTTGTATGGGTAAATAAAATTTGAAAGATGACAGAATGAAGCACAGCATGATGACTGAAAAATCTGTGCTATGATGCCAAGACCTGGGTTCAAATCCTGGCTCTATCACATGGTAGGTAGCTTTGTGACAATGCACAAATGCTTAAACCTTCTGGCCCTAATTTTCTCATTTATAAAAAGAGAACAATACAGGTCTCGTAGAGTTAGGAAGTTCAAATAAGTCAAAAGATGTAAAGCGCCTTTTTTTTTTTAAGTAGTTCCCACATCCAATGTGGGGCTTGAACGCATGACCCTGAGATCAAGAGTCTCTACTGACTGGGGCATCTGGGTGGCTCCATTAATCTCAAGTTAATCTTGATGGTTGTGAGATCATGCCCTATGCTGGGCATGGAATCTGCTTAAGATTCTCTCTCTCCCTCTCCTGAGTGCACTCTCCTTCCCTCTCTCCAAATCAATCAATCAATCAATCAATCAATCAATCAAGAGAGTATCTACTGACTGAGCCAGCCAAGTGCCCATCAAGCACCTATTAATAAGAGCTCAACGTTAGCTATGATGATGAAGAATGCTCTCTGAGGAGTAAGTAAATGTTAAGGAGCCCTAATAAGAGGAAGTAAAATGTGGAGTAGATATAAAGTTGTCCACCAAATAAAGGGAAGATCTAAAATCATTCACAAATCTCCTAATACTGTAAACTAAACAATAATCTTTAGAATAGGTAGATTTGCTACAAATAAACGCTACCGTAGAACTAAAAGTAAACTTAACAGAACCTGTAAATGGTAGCAGAGGATGAAATAAAAGCAACTCCTGGTCCTACTCATTGTAGGAGGATAGAGGGCAGCTTGGATCTCAACCAATGGAGAAAACCTGTACGGTTTTGTGTGGTAATTTCTAACGTATTAGTTTGAATGGGAACACTGCCCCGTCTTGTAAGTCTCCAAGTCACAAAACTAGCTATCAAATTAAAACGTGCGCTCAGATGCTCAAGGGACACACACCACAGGCGGAGCCCAGCTCCCGGGGGACCACACCCAGCCAAACATTTAATTATATACCCGCCTGTTCCCAGCTGGCCACTGTTACTGCTAATAGCTAATTCCTTTATAAGTGCCTAGTGAATAGAAATTCACCTGAAGTTACTCAAGAGGAGACTTCTTGAAGGCAAGGAGAGGATTCCAAAGACAGCCAACAGTTACTAAATATGGAGTTAATACTTTCTCATACTCCCAACAATTCATACAGAATAAAATCAGTTATAGAAATATTATTAGAATTTGGAACTGTAGCCAACTAGATGATGATTAACTCAGCAGTCCGATGGGAAGAAAAACTGCAAATCATTCTCTGTTTAAAGTTTGTTTGAGAGCCAGAGACAGCACGAGTGGGGGAGGGGCGAAGGGAGGGAGAGAGAAAGAGAATCCCAAGCAGGCTCCACACTGTTAGCGCCGAGCCCGACATGAGGCTCAAACCTACGAAACTGCAAGATCATGACCTGAGCTGAAAACCAAGAGTTGGACGCTTAACCTACTAAGCCACCCAGGCACCCCGCAAATTATTCCTAAATCACAGTTGTATTGCTTTTCAGCTCATTCACTTCTAGCATTTTCCTTTATATCATACAACCTCAGTGCCCAGGACAGTAGCTTACAAACAGCAGGTAGTATTTGAACTACCACATAACTGCATTATGTTCCTGAAAGAAATTCATGATCTAAATAATAGGGTCATAGAGCAAAAGGTTCAGAGGGGCTTAGCATCCAACCTTCTAGCCGTGCCATACACTAAACTGATCCAGGCTGCAGAAGGGCCACCTTGTGTCCCAGAGTGAAGGCAAGGGGGCCAGCACTGAGCAATTCAAAGCCTTAGGCACTACCAAAGGGTAGAGCCATCACAGTACTGATAGAGACTTCTTTACGGGCCTGCCATCACACCCCGGGATCCACCCCACAGAAGCCTCTTTCAGAACTGCAGAGACAACTTGGCATTCATACACCAAATGGTCCCGGTCTGGTACGACTGCTAACTGATGCACAGTTTGTGTGACGTGTGTACCAAAGAACAGTACATAAGGAGGCGATGCCACTAATGAACTTGGGGCAAACTATCATGTACAAGCGAAATACAAAAGATGTGCCATTACTTGTTAGACAGTTGTGCAAACAATGGAGAGTCCAAGTTTTATCAGAATATTCTGGATAGCTCTGTGTCCATAGCTACAGCATTAATCCAGACCCTATTCCTATCTGTATGACTGCATTTATTACTTTGAGTACCTACAGCGTGCCGGGAACTGTATTGTGTGTATGTGCGCATATACGTATCCATATTCACACGCACGTAGATGTATTTAATCTTCCAAAAAGTCTAAACCACGCAGGTTTTATCAACCCCCTTGTAGACAGTGTCCTATCTTGCTGTTTTGTGCCAAAGCCCAATCCCTTAACCTCTGTCTTATACTGACCGCAACAATCATTTTCTTGCCTCTGGGCCCACCGGGGTCATATTCCTGAACCATCCCCGCTCAGTCCACGCTTATGAAATGGTCACAGCCCTTCGGGTTTCTTAGATTGAAGTCAATTTCTTCAGATGGTCAAAGTTCCCAAATTGGCTTCACCTCACTTTCCCTCCGAAGAGCTCGTCGACCCATCATTACTTATACAATTAATTATGTGAGTGACTTAATTACATAAGATGGACGGCTCGTTCTCTTACATGGAGGCCCCCTTCCCATGTTCCTCTTTTGAACCAAATCCTACGTTCTTTCAGGACCACTTCAGACTTACCACCAGGTAACATTCCCTGATGAAAGCACCTCCCTGTGTCTTCTATTCTTCAAATTCTCCGCTCAAGTATTCAATCTGCACCATGCTGGACACGCACACTTAAAGTTTCCTCTAGTTCGTGCGCACGTGAACAGCCTTAGAAAGAGTAGGATGTCCCTTTTAAAGCCCCTTTCTTCCACCTCCCTCCCTGTTTCTCAATTCCACAGTTTTGCCAGAGCCTACCTGATTCGTTTACACTTGAACCAATTTGTTCAGACCTTCTCCAAGAAGATCTCACAGGGTTTAGTCATACCAGTCTACAGATGACCTAACTCAGTGACGTGCTGTTTGCTTAAAACTTTCAAGAACACTAAAGAAAAAAAAGTGGTCTGGGCTCCCCGCACCTTAGCCATGGCGACTGGTTCATACTTAAAATTGGTGGTGCAGAAAAAGTTCCCAAACCCTTCACTTTCATATAAATACATCCTCTGGGCACAGATACACATCTCTACAGTGCGTATCACCATCCGTTATTACAGTAGTGACTGTGCACGACTTGCTGAGGAACGTAGGCGCCATGAAGGCAGGGGCTTTGTTTTGGGCGCTGCCTTCTTTCCTGACCCTAGATCAGCACTAGGCTGATACCCGGTGCTATTCAAGTATCCGCTGGATAAAGGAGTGCACGTTTATAGATCACAGCTAGGCCTAAAGATCTAGAAAGGAAACAGGGAAAGTTTTTATCCTTTCAACCACTAATGAATGCTAGGACTTCCTATTCAGGGCAGGGGGAAACCAACTGGAAAATAGTGATCTCAAAACTGCAAATTAAAGAGCCCGAAAGTTCTGAAGGCAAACTTCGCTTGTATGAAGCTGAAAGAACTAAATCTATGCAGAGACCTCGAGGTTTAAGAACTGCATTTATTTCCAGAGGCTTTTCATGCTACATCCCAAGGATTTTCGGCAACAAAAAAAACACGAAACTAGAGTTCTCAGCCGCTCAAGGTGGGAAGGACCATCCGTGTAATAAAGTCGCTAAGGGGAGACCATTAAAAGGACCAAACTTCCTTGGGAGCAGAAGAGGCACGACAAGAGGGCACGTCACAGTAAACAAAGCCGGCCGAGGGCCTCGGGGAGTCGGTTCCAGACAATAGGAGCAACGTAGAGGCAAGGTCTGGGGTTGGGTCAAAGGGGGCGGAGTCTCAGAAAGCACCAGAGAGTGCAAGCAGCGCCAGCAGTGGGGCAGACGCTGGGCCGGAGGAAGGACCTGGCTCCGAGGAAAGCTCCCGGGATACGAGTGTGTGTATGAGAGAGAGAGAGAGAGAGAGAGAGAAAGTGGGGGGTGGGGAGAGCGTGATCTGGAAAACTGGGCGCAAACGGCTGCGAGGTTTTCTGTTTACTTTTCAAAACAAAACAAACAAAAAAAAAAGCGGCGACCCCAGCCACTCTGGATGCGACGAGGGGGAAATCCCGAGACTCCCCAGGGACCCGTAACGCCGGAGCGCGGCCGGAGGAGACCCCAGGGCTGGGGCCCAGGAGGTGACTTACTTTAAGGAGGCAGCTGTTGAGAGGAGCGGGCACAGAGGTGCGGTGGATGACCAGGTCCTGGCCCGGGTTGTGCACGTCGCAGATGAGCTCCAGCACAGCGATGCTGCGGGCCGTGGACACGGACACGCGGTGGTCCTCGGACCAGGCCAGCGGCTCCAAGCCGCTCACCGCGTACTGCAGCTTCACGGCCGGCTCCCGCCGAGTCACCAGGAAGCGGAACGCGGCGCTGGGCCCGGGGGCCGCGTCTGCAGCCGGCTCCTTCCCGCCCGCCTCGCCGCCCCCCTCGCCCTCCTCCTCCTCGGGCGGCGCAGGCCCGTCGGCCGCGAGCCCCACCCGGGCCTTGTCAGCCGAGCTCATCTCCCCTCAAGTGCAGTGGCCGGATCCCGGGGCGCGCCAACCTCGCGCCGCCGTCCCGTTGCCGCCTCTCGCGCCGCCGCCGCCTCCGGCCCCCAGCGCCCTCCGCAGCGGCTTTCTCCCCTCAGGCCCGGAGCGCCGCCGAGCCAGGAAGGACCCCGCCGTTGCTAGGCGACCCGGCTCTGCCAGGTGGCCAAGGCGCTTGCCTGTCTAGAAAGCGGGCCCGCTCCGCGGGCCGGACCGAGAAGCGCCCTGACTCGGCCGCACTGGGCGAGGGGCAGGGAGCCTCGAGCGCACCCTCTCCGGGCAGCCGAGCCCCAGGCCCCTGGAGAGACCTCCCGCGCGACTGAAGTGCTGGGGAAGCGGCAGCCCGGCGGCAAACGAAGGAAGCGTTGGCTAGATGGCACACGGCCTCTGGTCTCTCAGAGACACTCAGCTTCACAGGCACGAACTCCAGGGCTGAGTGTTTCTGCGGCCTCGCCCGCCACCGGCCAAGCCCGCGAGGGCCTCCCAGAGCAGCGGCCGCCGCGGCCCGTACGCTCGCGGGCGCCTCGGCACCAGGAAGGGACGCGACCGCAGGAGCCGGCGGGGCAGCCGCGCGGGGTCCTCGCGCGCCGCCCACGTGGGCCCGAGCCGAGCCCGCTGCTCCCGGTGCTGCGGCGCCCGCCCGTGCCCGCGCCTCGCCGCGCGCCATGGCGGCCGCCGGCGGGCTGCTCCTCCGCGCTCCCGAGTCCCCGGCCGCCGCCGCCGCCAAGACGCTCTCGGGACCCCGCCGGGCCCAGGAGAGGCGGGTGAGTTCTGACCCGGCTTCTGAGCCGTCCGCGCCGGAGGCCCGGCCCGCCGCACCTCGCGAGCGGCCGTGTGGCCGCTGGGTAGGGTTTGCAAGTGCTGCCGGAGTCGGGGGCGGGCGTTGGTGGGGGTGGGGGGGTGGGGAGTGGGATCTGGCAGATTCTGGAGGAGTCGCGGAGGGGCACGTGTCTGAGACCGGAACAGCCTCCCCGCGGGGATGTCCTGGGAGGGAGCGGCGCGGGTGCGGAGGGGCTCCCGCCGGCTCTCGGGCTGCCGGTGTCCGGGGTGGGAAGGCGGATTCCCGCTCCAAGTTAGGACCTGGGGCGAGTGCCCGTCCGGTCCCTTGCCAGCCTCGCCTCTTAACTTCTCTCCGCCACCGTTGCCTCAACCAAGGGTCGTTTGCTTCAGGAACGAGGACGGGAGACTAGCGATTTTCTGCACGGACTTGCAAAACGGGCCTAGATTGTCATCCCCGGGCAGTGGGGAGAGAAGATAACGGAGCATTAGTAGACTCCGCTCCCTAGGGAGGGGAAAGGTGCCTTCACTTGAAACCAAGCCAGAGCTGGAAACCGGTTTCTGGGACGGGTGACTCCCCTCCTGGAAAAGAGGAGGGGGCTGCAGGCAGAAAGCCCTGGGTAGGGTCGTAAGTTCTCGCAGAGGGCCAGAGATTATACGACCGGGGGCCGAGGGAGGTGTGTGTTTTCCCCGGAAAGCGACAGGTGGTTCCGTTGACAGGTCAGTTGGGGAAGGTCAGTTCATCCAACGTGTTGAAGCTGAAATTCCTCGAGTTAGTACGAGGGTTTCTCTTTGGTGATTTTTTTTTTTTTTTAGTGATAATCAAGCGTTAGGATTTAGAGGTTTGGGAGTAGGTGTTTTGGGCTAGCCAGTGGAGTAGCCACTTCTCTGGAAGGAGGAAGGGGGAGCCTGGGGTTTGGGGTAGGACAGACCTGAGATTAGAAGCCAGCTTTTGCAGCTGTCTGGTATTGTGACCTTGCAGGGGTCTGATCCTCACTACCCCCCCACCCCCCCCCGTGAAATGAGAACAATAGCTTCTGCCTCTTATGAAGTTATTTATGAGGAGTAAAGGAAATAATATGCATAAAGATCCTACGTATCTTCTTGCCCGCAGAAGCACTTAATAAATGCCAATGATAAGGAAAGTCGTATTGGCTCCGTTTTGAGTAGTGGATTCGCCACATCCAGAGGCCAATGGGGTGCTTGTGCCGTCCGGGTACCCAGCGACACATGGGAAGCACTATGAAAACTTCAGTGAGGGGCGCCTGGCTGGCTCAGTTGGTGGAGCCTGTGACTCTTGATCTTGGGGTTGTAAGTTCGAGCCCCCATTGGGTATAAAGATGACTTAAAAATAAAATCTTTTTAAAAAACAATCCCCAAACTTTTTAAATGCTTCTTTATTTTTGAGAGACAGAGAGAGAGGGAGACAGAATTGGAAGCAGGCTCCAGGCTTTTAGCTGTCGACAGAGATCCCAGTGCGGGGCTCGAACCCACGAACCGTGAGATCATGACCTGAGCTGAGGTCAGACGCTCAACAACTTTGCCAGTGGCCTGCATCTGGAATGGTAGCTAATATACTGGCCTCAACGACTTAAGTTATGCTATAGGTAACATTATGAAGGTTTTCCTTTTAAAGATGTTTTTTGATTGTTCAACTAATACACATTTATTGTCAGAAATTTGGGAATTATGGTAAAGAAAACGCACAATTGCCATAGTCTGATATAACTCTGGTTCACATTTTGGTGTATATCCTTCTAAAAAACAACTCAAAAGAGGAGTCAAGCTGTAAATGATGTTTTCCAACCAAAGGGGAGTTAATAAATGGTCCTATCACCTGGTGCTCAGGAACCCTGGCCGTGAAACCCGTGCCTGAGCAAAGCCTGGATCGCTCAGGGATCCAGGGACAAATTGCCTCATACCTCTGCCTCAGTGGTCTCGTTGTAAAATAGGATGATACCAGGGGCACCTGGGTGGCTTAGTCGGTTAAGCGTCCGACTTTCGCTTAGGTCATGATCTCGCGGTTCGTGGGTTCGAGCCCCGCGTCGGGCTCTGTGCTGACTGCCAGCTCAGAGCCTGGAGCCTGTTTCAGTCTGTGACT